TCCTTCGAAATTAAATCATCATCATCCAAGCCTAATCCCAATTATTTGGGGTTCGTTAACCTTCTAAAACTAAAAAAAAACAAAAAATAAAAATAATTTTGTCCTGCATCATTCTCCCCTAGATGGAGAAAACTCGTCATCAAATTTTGAAGTGTGCTAAATTCAGTGGAGAAAACTTCATCAAATTTTGAAGTGTGGCAAGATGAATTTATCATCCAAACCACCTTCTTCAACCTTCTCCTTCTTTGTTGGCTCAAATGTTGTTTGTGGTAAGAAGAAATCCCTAAGAAATGGATCCTAGTATGTATAGTCAAGAATTTATAGAAACTTATCAAATTTTGCTATCTCTGAACTCGCATTAAAAATTGAATAAGAAAATTCAAACTCAACTTTCTGGCCCTTAGAGGGTTTCTCGACATCTATTTCATTACTCTAAAACCAAAACCAGAATTTGCAGTTTGTGGGTCAACATTCTTCCTCTGCGCTACTATGATTCCAATGCCAGAGCACGTTAAACTCATCACTACCTCGCAAGGGCGTTGAGACTATAGCAGATGCAAATTGCGTCCAAGATATTTACTTTTATTTTTATTTATTGTTGGGACTGAGTTTTAGGGATATTCATATAGGGGTTAAAAAGTGATTTTTATTTTATTTAGGATGCGCTTGAATAAATTTCTTAGTTTGTAGGATTCAATGATCCTATTTTGGTATGATTGCTAGATAATTAGAAAGAGAACGATGGGAGAGGGGTGATCACGTGTGGGGTAGAGAAATTTCCTAGAAAAGAGAATCTATAAGAGAAATAAGAAAGTTTGGAAAGGGGTTGATTTGCTTGGTCTAGAGAGATTTATATTGGATATAGATGGGGAGTTAAATATTTAAAAGAAAGATATTTATGGGAGATTTTCATGAGTAGAGATTTAAAGAAAGAGATTAACGTGGGGGAGAGAGATAGACATGGTGGAGAGAGAGGCATAGAGAAATTGGTGTGGGAGACTGAGGCTATTCTTTGGGATTTTATTATTCTTTTTTTAATTGGCTTGTATTTAAAGTGGAACTTTCCCCTTAGAAAAGGGAGTTGATTTTTTTCCAGAGAGAGTTTGTTTATAAAGGAAGAAAGATAGCTTCTTCTTCTCCATGGCTTGATTTACAACCATTTTTTCCCTCCATTATTGTTGAATTTTTGCTTGTTTAAGATCAAAAGAAGACCGGATTTAATTTCACGAACTCCTTTTGCTCTGATACCAATTGATGCAAAAGGATTCAACAATAATGGAGGCGAAAGTATGGCTGTAAATCAAGCCATGGAGAAGACGCAGCTATCTTTATTCCTTCATAAACAAGCTCTCTCTGGAAAAATATCAAGTCCCTTTTCTAAAGGGAAAGTTCTACCTTAAATACAAGCCAATTAAAAAATGAATAAGAAAACCCAAAAGAATAGACTCTCTCTCTCTCCCACACCAATCTTTGTCTGTCTCTCTCTCCACCACGTCTATCTCTCTCTCCCCTACATAAATCTCTTTTTTTAAATCTTCACTCCCATGAAAATCTCCCATAAAAATCTCTCTTTTAAATCTTTAACTCCCCATCCATATCCCACATAAACATCTCTAGATCAAGCAAATCAACTCATTTCCAAACCTTCCTATTTTCTCTCATAGATCCTCTTTTCTAGGAAATTTCTCTACCCCACATGTGATCACCCCTCTCCCATCATTCTCTCTTTAATTATCTAACAATCATACCAAAATAGGTCATGGAATCCTACAAAGTAAGAAATTCATCCAAGCCCATCCTAAATAAAGTAAAAATCCATTTTTAACCCCTATATGAATATCCCTAAAACTCAATCCCAACAATAAATAAATAAATATCTTGAATGTGATTTGCATCAGCATGTTACACGAAAGTGCCACTTTCTCTGAAGTGTTGTCACACAGCTGCCCACCTAGAAGAGCCGCTCACATTGTGGTGTTGTCACACAAGATAAGCACGCCAGGCCGGGCGAATCAAAGTTCTCTTCCAGTCAACTGTCCACTCAGTCAAGTACAAACACGATGGAATCACGCAATGCACGCTGCTTTAAATCGGTTGAATGCTTCACCTCGTCGATATCCTTGAGATCTTCAAAGGCCATGAATTTGATCAGCCCCCTTGCTGCCTTCTTTCCATATTCTTGACTAGCAAGACCCTCTTCCAAAACATCATCTTCATCTTGAACCGTATCATAAATTGGATATCCTAAGAGATCTTGTTGTTCATTTGAGAATATATTGAAGATCGGTGGTAAATCCCAATTTACAACCTGTTGATTTTTATACAACTTGAGTAAAAATGAAAGTGTCATCCTTCAAATCGAAAACCCTAGATTGATGTGCCCTACGTCTGGGTCTTCTATTGCTTTCCTTTCTACTTGACTCTTCATGTGGAGCATGGATGTGAAAAGGGTTGTACTTGAAATTTTTTGGGTGGAAAGATCACCATCTTGCCCATGAATGATGCCCATAAACTGCTACGCTAGCTGTTGAAATTGCTTTTTGAGTTCCTCAATTTCTTCATATTTGGGATCACATAGTAGTTATGTGAAAACCCCTCTTCTATAGCCTCTTCTCGCTCCCATGAGTTCATTGAAATCACAAAAAGCTAGGCAAATAATTATCAAAAACTCACTGAAAACAACAAATTCTTGCTGATTTGGCAAAACTTGGCCCAAAATCAACAAACCCTAAACTTGTATGTAGTTTTTTAGCTTTGTTATTGAAGGGACCTTGAGCTCTCATACCAAATTGATGCAGGAAAATTTGAAAATAAAAGTAAAATCAGCAAAGAACAAGACCAACACAAGCACAAATCAAAGAAACCTATGGTTTCTTCTCTATACACCAAGATAGGGTTCCAGAATCGTAAATTTTTCGTCCTCTTTCAATTTCTAAATATCATGTGGAATGACAAAGCCCCACACACCTCTTATATATTATATTGTCAAGTTCAAAGGCATTATAGGTCCATAGAATAATTAAAATGACCCAAAAAGTCCTAACTTAAACACAAACTTTATAGTCACACAATTTTACCCCTATAAACAGTAGCCCATAAACAGTACCCATGAATAGTAATTGTGAACAGTACCCTTGAATAGTAACCAATGAATAATAAATAAAAATATAAAGATCCTAAAATCCCTAAAACCCTTAAAGACCCAAAAATAAACCCTAAAATTAAAATTAAAATATACATGCTTTGAAATTGAATAAAAATTAAAAATAAGATACATCAGATCTCATCTTTAATGAGGGTCCTATCTTTGAGGATGATTTGATACGTGATATGGAGAACAACAAAGTGAAGGTAATGAAAATCAAGGAGAGGATGGAAGCAGTAAGGATGTTTCTCTTTATGTCTTGCATGAATATACGGTATCATGTGAGGTGCAGCCCAAGGGCTTGATGATATTTTTCTTAGCAGTAAACATAGAAGGTGGCCATCAAATGATTGGTTATGTGATTCTTGATGTTAGGGTTCAGCTTCAGCCATTTGTTTTGTTTTGAGTGGGGCACCCCTATATCTAACTATTATGTACGAGCTGAAGGAAATCATGGAGGTAATGCAACATTAATCTTAAGCAGCTTCGAAATTCATGGCAGAGTATTCTCTGATGCATTTAGGACCAAGTATGTGTGCTTATGTACTGCAAGTATGGCAGTTCCCATTGGGCTCAAAACAGGGTTGATCCAATGTTTATGGGGGGTGCAGTAACATGACACGCCTTGATCTAAAGTACCGTTAATGTAGGAGATTTGGTGATTATTTATCCACGCAAAGATGGTATCTTGTGGACAAATACAACAAGCAGGATAACAGGATGATCAGACTGTTTCGGGTGCTAAAGAAGGTGGGTTGTAATGCCTTGTTTGAGACCTCAAATATGTTCGATGTGCTGATCTTTTCGAGTACCATGGGCCCGAATTAGCAATACAAGAAGAGTCGAGTTCCTCCCAACCGAGGGAGAATGATGTAGCCCACAGTCCTTTAATTAGTCAAGACCGTTCCCATGGGCCTTTTGACCCAATCAATCCATTCTTTGATGACCCGCTTTATGATCCAACAGGGGAAGGCCAACAATTTGAAGGAGTTTATTTTTAGTTTGTTGCTTTTTCTACAGTCTCTTAGTAATTTACATTGTTTTAATTAAAGGTAGGGGCAGTTTATGGATTGTTTTTTGTTTTTAATTTAAAAAAAGGATCCAATGGGATATTTTTTTAATAATGTTTTAACTTAAATGGAGGTAGTTTTGGTCCTCTTTTATTATAATTTAATAAAAGGGCTGGGGTGTTAGAGTTTTCAAGGCTTTTGGGGCATGCATAACAAAAACAGGGCATGAGGGGTATTTTTTTTGTGCAAGGAAAGTCAGATCTACTCAAATATGGCCTATTTGTTGGTTTATTAAATTGTTTTTGCCTCTTTACAGTATTTTCATGCATCGGCAGTTCAAAATTTAATAGGGTACTTTGAAATCATCATTATGATGGTGTATTCTAGAATAATACACAAACACATATGTATGTATGTATTTATGCATACGTGAGTATGTGTGTCATATTCACATCAAATCTGCCATAATTTAATAAGAAAAAAAGGCATATACTAGGATCTGCCATACCATATTGTTTGTGTGATGCATTCCATCTACCATAAATTGCACACAACGAATCAAGAATCAGTGTCTTATAAGATGGTGTATTCTAAAATAATATACACACACACATATGTATGTATGTAAATGTGTGTATGTTCGTCATATTCCCATTAAATCTGCTATAATTTAATAAGAAAAGAAGGCATATACTAGGATCTGCAATACATACTGTTTGTGAGATGCATTCCATCTACCATAAATAGCACGCAAATGAATCAGGAATCGGTGTCTTATAAGATAGTCTATCTTTTTCTTTTTAGAAGTCAACATAGTCTATTTGAGAAACATTACAGGCTCTTACCAACTCTCCAGGTTGTTGAAGACCTAAAGCCGTGTCATTTAAAAATACCTCACCACCATGCTCAGAATACGCCAAACCTTCTTCAGTTCCACAATTTGAGCCATCACAGGTCCTGAAACTTCCTACCTGGCACTCTCCATTACCAGGGACCACTAACACAACTTTGGACTCTCTACTCATATCAGACATGCTTCCTATAGAATTTTGGTGCCTATGGTCTTGAAAAATTGATGCCTCACTTGAGCAAGGAAAACATGTTTTCTTTTCTTTCGAGTGCCTGTAGGATTTAAAAATCTTAGAGGCACTTCTACAGAGACCCCAGCTATTCTTTCTTTGTTTGTTGAGTGTAGTTGTCTGGACAGTTTGCAGTGAACTGTGTGATATGGTGTCAATGAGCTCTACAAGAGAAAACCATAGCCAAAGGGAAGAATATCACAAATGGATACAGATAGAAAATATGAATTCAGGAAAACATACATTATCCAAAGTAGTGTGAAAAATCGTGACCATTGCGGGCATCACAGGCCAAATGATGGAAGGTGATTGAGATTTGGGAGACAGTTGGATCCGCAATTGGTTATGTCCTATTCTGAAGGGTCCCTCACTCCCATTACCATCCATCGTTTTATTGGACTGTAATGATCCCAATGGATTGAATATACCATATTATATTCTTGAGAATCTCCTGGCTACCTTCATCCTTTGATGATTCTGCAAGTCTTGAAATGACTCTATTTCGAGATACTACATAAATATTGCAGATGCTTGGAGCTGTTTTCAGAACAAGAAAAGGTAGATCTTCACCTGTCCACTTCCTACATAATAAGAAAAATGGACTTTCATAGAAGATTTGGTTCAGGATGTACTTTACTTTCCAATGGTCAAGGCACTTCTTAAAAATGCCAAAGATATGCAAACAGATATATACACAATCAACTTGTAACGAGTCACAGTTTGAAGGTGCATCAGAACAAATACATAGGCTTTCTTTTCTTTTCATTTCCGTTCTATATATAGATACGTAACCTGTTATTCACTCCTAATAACCAAACATCCAATGGAAACTAGATTATGCAGCCAAATCATGGCTATGCATGGCTCCAGACAAATTCAACCGCATTAAGTATGATTTTTGAGCCACAAAAGCGAAAATCCTTTCTAATAGGGAAGACAATGTATTGTTGATTAGTCTTGTGATTGACTGGCACTAGGAGATAATGCATACCTCATAAGAAAGGTTCTAGAGGATGACTGCAAAACCAGATTTGCGATGCCATGATCAGTTACATATCTCAATAGTGCAGTCGAAGGATTGTCATCTTCCAGCACCAAGGTGTCCATCTAGAGGTCAGAAATCCTTACTGGAGTCAGTTATTATTTAAATTTGGATGCAAATTAGATTAGATAATATATAGTGCCAGTTTCAATGTGTGTGTACATATATGCAATAGCATTACCTGTGTATGTTTGAATAATCTCTTGAATGGCAGGAAAATTTCATCAGATTTTGATTTTGTGTCCTGCATATACATAGCCACCACATCATCTTGAATTTGTGCGATGGGGATGTACTTGCCCTCTGTTAAGAAATCCAAACTATCAGGACATCACCAGCTATGATTAATACGTAGTTATCACATTCAAACTTCTTTGAGATTAGAGAACGTAAGATTTCAACAATGGTTATGACTTTGGCACTAAATGACATGTTACAGAAACAAATAGGTTCTGGCAAAACTACGAAAAATATTCGAAGAATCATTAGTTTTCACTAAAATGTTCAAAAATAATGGAAATGTAAAAATTCCGAAAGCATTCTAGAAATCACTAGACTGCCCAATCGAACAAGTGTAAGAGAACCAAATTTGGGAGCAATTACAGAGCCAAGTCAACCCCTTAGGATTTAGCCTCGCCGTAGGAAACTCCGGTAGTTAGCAAGAGATCAAAGGTTAGAACCCTTGAAGCATGCCTTTGGGAAACTCCTCCTCCTAGCAGAATCAATTCACATTCAAATCCAATACGTCTGAGCATAATTCAGACATGAACTCCAAGAATAGTCTGATGCCCTCATTTTTTCAATTAATAAAATTGCTAATTCTCGCTAATTGGAGTGGAATTGATCAGTGTGCTTCTTCCATTTAGGAAAACAAAAACTAAATTAAAATAGGAAGTCATACTAAAAATCATGCATACATGAACAGCTTTTCCCTCAGCATCATCTGTGGATTTCTCTCTTGTTAATTCTCACACCTTACCTAATTCTAAGGCCTTCTAAGTGTTTCACCTAAAGAAAAATAAAAAACAATCATTTCCGAAGAGACTTCCAAACCTATACACAAAAATATAAAACAAAATTAGCTGAAAACAAAACAAAGAGAGAAAGAGAACTAACAACATGGTTAGAATTAAATATCGAAAAAAATTGGAACTAAATGTTTCTACAAGATCCAAAGTCAAAACCTAACTCAGTTAGAACCATCTCATAGGCATCTCATAGATATAAACTCATATCTATTATGCAAATTATAAGCGCATATCAATCAAAACCCACCGCAGTTTATCCAATATAAGACCACAGAATGCAGGGAAAATGAATCAGAATATTTTCCAAAAAAATAAAACAGAATGGATCGGAATCAATTCAATGGGAAAAATGGGTATCATAACAAACTACAGGAGTACAAACAAATGCTCCTACAAGCTAAGATTCAAATACCATCCCACTTGAATCAAATACAAACTCCCCTCAACCATAGCACTCTCAATTATATCCCATATAAACTATTCTCAACCAAAAAGCATCTCAGTTTTCCAATACAAAGCAGAAAAACCAGAGAAATAAGTCAAGAAGGACAGCCGTAGAGGAACTCACTAGGAGTGGGTATGGCCTTTATGACAGGTATGACATGAATAAGGAGAATTCTATCATGGTGGTTCACCAAATTCTCCATGGCCCATCGAACCGCCGCCATGCTTGTTGAGCTTTTGCAGACCCCAACTGCCACAACTGCCCTCTTTTCCCCTGTTTCTGGTCCCTGAAGCATCGCCATGAGAGCTCAGAATGAAGAGGATGGTATGAGGGTCTGATAACTATGAAGGTAGTGAAGTTGGTGTTGAGAGTTTGGTCATGGCCTTAATGGTGGTAAACTGGCAATGGGTTTGGCCATGGGGAAGAAGAATTAGAGGAAGCACCACGAAAGGTGATTCATGTCGTTTTGCTCTCAACCCAACTCCAACTTGTATTCTATTGCCAGTCAACGTATGAGTTGACTTCCTTATTTTAACAAAACATGGGGCGTTTACGGCCCTGTACCTAATTCAATCGACCACAGTAAATATCTGGATTAGATTAGGTGATCCTAAGAGACCACCGTTAACACATTGTTTCTCGCCCAAAAACAGAAGAGGAATCAATCCTCTCTTTGATCCGAAAACTTTGAGATGACGGTTATACAGTCATCACCCTGAGCCTTCCATTTGAGGGAGGATCAATTCACGACTGAGAGTTTTATGTATAAAATAATTTATTTTTCTGGTTTTTTCTAGAATTATTGACAACGTAGCGATTCAAAGATGTTTTGAATGGGGAAAATCACTAAAATCCACCCAAGTTGGATGTTCTCCTTGTAATGTTCTTGGCTGAAAGGTCCCTTATCCATTACTCTAATATCTTTTTTTTTGTCATTGACCTTTATTTATGATAAACCATTTTATCTTTTTTTTTTTTTTTTGTTTCATTGACCTTTATTTATGATAAACCATTATTCCTCTCTCTTTTTCTTTTTTCTTTTCCCTATCTCTAGGCTTAATTTCTTCTTCGTATTCATATATATTTCTAAAAATGACAAATGGGAAAGAAAGAGAAAAAAACCAATAAAATCATTTATATTTTTAAAAAGAGAAACCAATAAATCTTTTGCTTTTTAGAGAGAGAGCTTTGGAGAGAGAAACTAAAAAAAATCTATTCACATTTTTAGAGAGAGCTTTAGATAGAGAAACCTATAAATCCATTTACATTTTCAAGAGTGAAAGATACATATGAAAGTAGTATAAAAGATAATGGGTGTGGTTTGTATAGAGCCTAGGCTCTAACAATCAAATTCGAGCCTCCCTTCAAATAGTATCGAGAAATATGGTTTCAATACTGGAAATCTTTGTGATAGCCTTAAAATATATTTTCAATTTTATTTATAAAGTTTAAAGCTTCAAAAATAGTATAGATCAACAGATCTATGAAAATTTGAAAATTGACGGTCCTAAAATGCATTACAAAATAAACTATTTCCAAAATTTGAAATCCATTTTTTTTCTCATGTCCATACATTTTGATGTCAAGATGATCAATTTGAAGATATTTGAGCATCAAAATAACCTATTCTAATGAAATTTTTGAGGCAGGCTCTAATTTGATTATTGAGAGCCTCGGCTCTATATAAACTTTTACCAAAGATAATATACTGTAACGGTTGGGGGAAGCTTGATGTGAATAGGAAAACAATGGGAAGAGAAAGTAGTATAAAAGATAATATATTGTAACGGTTGAATGAAGCTTGATGTGAATAGGACAAAAAATATAAACAGTGGTCTTTGTAGACGGAGGAGAGACAGAGGTCGTTTGTGGGTATTTTTATTTTTTGAGAAATTATCATAAATATATCTTACTTTTGGTCTATTTAAAAAAAAAAAAAAATTGCTCTCATAAACCTCGCCTACAACTCTTTTTTTTTAATTTTAAGCGTCCGGCATTTTATGTACCGTAAAAACTAACACATATTATATGGCACTCAAAATGTCGTAAACTTTTTTCTCCTGTTCATATCTATCTATTTTTTTATGTTTATCTCTTTTTTTCTCTCTAATTTTTTAATATTTATCTCTTCTTTTTGTCTCACTAACTCTTTTTCTCTCTCTCTTACTATTTTATCTCTCTATTTTTTTATGTTGATCTCTCTTTCTCTCTCTATTTCTTTTTATATTTTATCTCTTCTTTTCGTCTCACTAACTCTCTTCCTATCTCTACTTACATCATCAACTCAACAAACACGATTCCAACGCGCGACAAATCTGATTCGGCCTAATTTTCATAGGAGATGGGGGTTGAAGGGAGTTTTTATAAGGGATGGTATGGTACAAATCCGATTCAGTCTAATTTTCATAGGGGATGGGCTTGAAAGGAGTTTTTATAGGGGATGGTAAGGCACGAACAATTTGTTATACAAATCTCCTTGGACAAAGAAAGAAAGTTAGAGAGAGAAAAGATTTAGAAAGAGAAAGAAGATATAAAAAAGAATTTGAGATAGTAAGAAGAGATAAATATTAAAAAGAATTAGAGAGAGAAAGAAGAGATGAATATTAAAAAGAATTAAGGAGAGAAAGAAGATATCAATATTAAAAACAACTAGAGAGGAAAAGAAGAGATAAACATAAAAATAATTAGAGAGATGAAACAAATAAATATAAACAGTAGAAAAAATTTTACAGTATTTTGAGTCCCATATAACATGGGTTAGTTTTCAGAAAAAATTACTAAAACCACCACAATTTGTACTTTCTAAATACTCTACCGCACCATAATCTTTTCTTACTTCTTTTTATAAAAAACCAATGTTTCTTACTTTTCTTACTTCTTTTTATAAAAAACCAATTTTTCTTACTAATACCCTCCAACTCAAAAAGTTACTTTTTTTTACCAAAATACCCCTAACCATACTCTCACTGTACGACCACATCCTTTGGACGGACCAATATATAACATCACTGGACTGCAGTTATTAGTTGCCGGACAAATACTACATACTGGACTGCTTTTCACAACTACTGGACTGCTTTTCACAACTACTGGAGTGCTTAGTAGACATTGATACGCCGGAACACACATCTATAACACCGGATTGAACCTACTCCAGTAGTAACAATGTCGGAGTTAACCAAGTACAAATTTGCTAGACCGTGCTCATAAATCGTCGATCTGAACATACTCCTCTAGCTCTAGGGAGAAAATTGTCGGTCCACTGTTCTTCACATGCGAGAGAGCCCATGTATCTAGAGAGCTGCCCGCTGGACCGAGGCTCACAAACGCCGGACTACCTGACGATATCGCCGACTTGATTGTATCTAATGCCGGACTAACCCAGCATGTTACAACTCCACCGGACTAATGAGTGATTGCATCGGAGTGATTGTGTATAACGCCAGAGCACTTTGCAGTAGTACTGGCTTGATAATTTTCCAGAGGACATAGTGTCGGGCCACTGTTCTTCAACCGTCGGAGTGCCATGAATCCAGTGAGCTATTCATCGGACTGAAGATCAAAATCATCGGACTGATTGAATGTATCGCCGGTCTGCTCCTCTGGAATGCCAAACTGATTCTTTATGCCATATTGATTAAAGATTTTGCCGGAGTGCCTTTTGTCTATCGCCTGATTGCTTTAGTTAATCATCAAACATATAATTTTCCAAGGAGCAAAACACCGGTCTGGTGTGCTCAAAATGCCGAAGTGCCCATGAATTCAGTGAGCTTTTCACCGGACCGAGGCCACAAATCGTCGGACTGCTTCACATTATCGCCGCTCTGCTCCTATATAATGCTGGACTGACCTAGCCCTGTAAACCTTTGCCGGACCTGTTCACGATTTTGCCGGAGTGCTTATATACTTCGCCGGACTGCTTTGCTTTAACACTGAACTGATAATTTTCCAGGGAGAGAGTGCCGGTCCGGTGTGCTTCAAACACTGGATTGACAATGAATCCAATGAGCTTTTCACCGGATCGAGCAAGTGAAGTGCCAGATTGATCTTTCATCCAGCAATTTGAGTGCCGGTTTGGTATAATGAAGTGTCAGAGTTGCTTCGTCAAGTGTCGGAGCACGTTCTGCAAGTGCCGGAGTGCTTTTTATAAGTGTCGAAGCGTTTTGCATTAGTGTCGAAGCGCCCATATATGTTACAAGAAATATGAACATGTAATTTCCAATGTATTTGACCTATGTATTGGCCTATGAACAAGTGCTTATGCAATGATCCAAGGAAATTGAATCCATCAACCCAATGGATTTGTCCAAGAAAACTGAATCCATCAACCCAATGGATTTGGCCTATGAACAAGTGCTTATGCAATGATCCAAGAAAATTGAATCCATCAACGTAATGGATTTGGCCTATGTATTGGCCTATGAACAAGTGCTTATGCAATGATCCAAGAAAATTGAATCCGTCAACAATTTTATCATATCAATCTTTAAAAACTCATTCATATCAACCTTTACAAACTCATTCATATCAACCTTTACAAAACAGGAACTGTATTGATAAAGTGACAAACTCGTTAGCTTATGCTTGACCAAGTTTCAAAGCAGGAACTACATTAATAAAGAACAACACATTGAGTATTTAAAAAGGTATTGATAAAGAACACATTGATAAAGAACAACACATTGAGTACTTAAAAGGGTATTGATAAAAAACACATTAACATAATGGCAACAAAAAGAATGTACATTGCATTAATTGTCTACTATGATATAGGAGCTTCAATTTACATTTGACTCAAAAAAATACATAGTTTTTACTTTCTTGGCCTCAACCATCTCTTTGGCCAACTTGCAATAGCCTTGCCCTTATCATTTTTGTTATTTATTCTCCTCTCATTTTCCTCATCAGTCTTGCTCTCTCTTTTCTTGTCATTTTTTCTCTTTGTTCTCTTCTCATCTTCCTCATCAACCTCGCTTTTTCTTGCATCATCTCTACAATCTCCCTCTTCAGTATTGCTTTCCTTATCTCCACCATCTCCCTCTTCAGTATTGATTTCCTCATCTCTACTATCTCCATCCTCGCTCTCGTTGTCGTCATCTCCACCTTCTATGTCCTCGTCATCACTTCCACTGTCTTCGTCCACCATCTCCTCGGCATTATCTGTAGGAATGTTCTGCATTAACAAATCGTGGGTCGCCTGTACTAAACGTTTGGATTCCCCTGGTATTACTTCACCACAAAGTGCAGCTTGTTGCACCCCTAAGTTAATCGCTGCAAGTAAACAATAAAAATAATATAAATCTCTCCAAGTAGACAATGAATAGACAATTATTTTAAGTCAATAAAAACTAAAATAAACTAATTAAAAATATATACCAAGCTCCTCTCGTCATCATGGCCTGCGAGGGGGGGCTGCGACTGTGAGGGGGGCTCAGGGGAGTATTTCCATATCTATGAGTGAACATGTTGTACCAGGCC